CAGTTTTATCTTTGTTTAATTGGAGAAAGTTCTGACACATCCAGTCATTAATTTGTTCAATGCACTTACTCAGTGTTTGAATTGGAGCGTAGTCTCCTGGTGAAATTGTTACGTACATTTGTGTGTCATCCGCATAGCTATGGTAACTTATTTTGTTGTTTTTCATTATCTGAGCCAGTGGTAGCATGTAGATGTTAAAGAGAAGAGGCCCCAAGATGGAGCCTTGAGGTACCCCACATGTCATATTTGTCAACTCAGATGTGTATTTACCTATAGAAACAACGTTTTTTCTGTCCTTTAAGTAGGATTCAAAACAATTTAGAACTGTTTCGGAAAGTCCCCCCAGTTTTCCAGTCGGTCTAGTAATATGCTGTGGTCAACAGTGTCAAACGCAGCACTGAGATCTAATAATACTAACTCTGAAGTTCTGTCACTGTCTGTGTTTAAGTGGATGTCATTGAAGACCTTTACAAGAGCAGTCTCAGTGCTGTGGTTTGGACGAAAGCCTGACTGGAACACATCAACACAGTTATTTAAATGCAAGAAGTTACTCAACTGTTGAAAAACAACTTTTTCAATGATTTTACCAAGAAATGGCAGGTTTGATATGGGCCTGTAATTGTTCATTACTGAAGCATCTGCTAGATTATTATTTTTTAAGAGCGGTTTAATAACTGCAGTTTTCAGGGCCTGTGGAAAAACACCTGAATGAAGAGATGTGTTTACTATATGAACTAGATCTGAGGCCATGCAACGAAAAACCTCTTTGAAAAATCCTGTTGGAATAATATCAAGGCGGCAGGAGGAGGATTTCAGAAGTTGAATAATGTCCTGTAGGTTTTTATCATTAATCTGATGGAATTGTGTCATGGTGTTTGAATTGATATTAGGTGGACATAGGGACAACACATTTGCTGTACCTGATGCAGAGGCACTGACTGCTTGTCTGATTTTCTGAATTTTGTCAGTGAAGAATGAGGCAAAATCATTGCATGCCCTGGTGGATAGAAATTCAGAGGCTACTGACACTGGGGGGTTAGTTAGTCTGTCGACGGTAGCAAACAAGGAACGAGCGTTGTTTTTGTTTTTGGTAATGATGTCATAGAAGAACGACTGTCATGCGTTTTTCAATTCCAAATTATAAAGGCCAAGTCTCTCTTTATAGATTTCAAAGTGAACCTGGAGATTTGTTTTTCGCCACCTACGTTCAGCTTTTCGACACTCTCTTTTTTCTGTTCTCACGGTCATGGCCTTTCTCCATGGAGATATTTTCTTGCCAATCACTTCCTTTACCTTAGTTGGAGCAATGGCATCTATAACATTTTTAATTTTTTAATTACAATTATCTACTAGCTCATTTACTGAGATGCTAGCAGGGGCTAGTGTGGAAGAAAAATTCTGAGTAAATATTTCCCTAGTATTTTCAGTTAAATATCGCTTTGTGGTTACCTCTTTTTGAACATTTTTGTGAACAGAAATAGAGCTCTCAAAGAAAACACAGTAATGATCAGAGAGTGCAACATCAGTTACCACAACCGTAGAGATATTCAGACCCTTTGAGATAATTAAGTCCAGAGTGTGCCCCTTATTGTGCGTGGGCTCCGTCACATACTGAGTACACAAAGAACACAAAACAGTTCTTTAGCCCTTCTGTCCTGGGGGTTGTCAACATGGATGTTGAAATCACCAACAATGACTGGACGGTCAAAGTCAATACATACTATAGACAGCAGTTCAGTAAAGTCATCAAAAAAGCTTGTACAGTATTTGGGTGGTCTATAGATATTTAGGAACAGAGCTCGAGAGGAGCATTTCAGCTGAAGGGCCACATATTCAAAATAAGAAAAGTTCCCATAAGATGTCTTCCTGCATTGAATGGAATCATTGAACAAAAGATCAACTCCACCCCCTTTCTTATGCATTCTTTATTTTGTTCAATCCAAGTTTCCGTTAAAAACATAAAACAGAGATTGTGCTCAGTGATAAAATCATTGATTAAAAATGTTTTTCCTGCCAAAGACCTGACATTTAATAAAGCTAGTTTAAGTTTGTTGAATACACTATCAGTAATATGTTTTGTGTCAAGCTGTGGCTGACATGGAATCACTGCTAAATTTGATAAACGTTTGAGCACTTCCTGTTTCTAAGCTGATTCACCGCTCTTAATCTATTACCTATCAACACAGATATCGGCAAAGTTACAGGCAGGCAGGGCCCCGGCATGTCCTGGAAAGAGTTGAGAGTGTCATACGCCCTTGAGCCTGGACCCAGCACATATCAGTAAGAGTTTGTTGAGTTTGGAAACACACATCCTTATCAGGCTTCGGAGACTGCAGATGCTTTCTTGAAGGGAGGGGAGGTGGTTGACGTAGGCACGGTGATGGAGACGGGGGAGATGGTGCATGTCTCTGCTTCGGTGATTTTGGTGGCCGTTGTTGAAGGGCGGGGGTAAAGGACATGCTGCCAACCCTGCGTATCGCCTTAGTTTGGTCTTTGAACTCCAGGAAGGAATTGGTGCCAACCCTCTGTATCTCCTTCGTGTGTTCAGCGATCACCAGGAGGGTGGGTGCGGGTGAAAGGGTGAATGGAGAGTAGAGAGAGCTGTGGGATGAAGGAAGAGTATCCTCAGAGGTGATAGGGGGGGGTGAAGGGCGGTGGAGACTCCTCAATTTGTCTCCCATAATCAAGACATTCCTCAGGCGGGTGCAGTGATAGATTTTCAAGGTTTTCTGAGCGATGTGTTGTGTCTTTCTCTTGTTTTGATTCCTCTTGTTGCTTGTCCTTGGCAGAGGGAACAGATTGATGACGTAGGCAGTTGAATACATTAGAGATAAACAATTTCACTCCTGACTTGTTCAGTCAAACTCAATTTGTTCCAATGTGCAGTACCACATTCTTCACAGTCGGATGTTCAGCCCCAATATACAAGATCTTCTCAGCCAAGTCAGAGACCACATCCTTGGGAAAACAGAGTACTTTGGTGATGTTCTTACTACACAGACTGTTTACATCTCTTACAGCAGAGTCACCCACAATCAGAGTTTCAGGCCCAGTTGTTAGTTTTCCCTCTAGCCTTTTACTTTTGGAGTACCTATTGGTCCTTACCCTGCTGTGTGAAGAGGACAGGTTATCCAGGTCATCAGAAAGAGATCTCCGGTTCTCGGTCAGCGGAGCGTATCTGTTCTGGATTGGCACACTCGTGGTTTAGGAGGATTGTTTGTAGTTCTCCCTTTAGCAGCTGTCCACGGCTGTTTCCTAGTAGGAATAGGGGTTGAAGAGGCGCTCTTTCTGGGTGATAACAATGCAGGCCAGCCGGTCGCATCACAGATTTCAGAGTGCTGGGCTCTGCCTGTTGTTCGTCCTCCCAAATTCCATGGAAATAATTGACTCTTCGGCCTTGCACCCAGAGAGTTCGAGGGAGGACTACCACTTGTAGATTTATTACCCAGTACACAGCCCTCCTGTTCCTTGGAATCCTTGTAGCTGCTAACTAGCTTTGAGTTAGCATGCCTTTGTCCATTATTTTTGCAACACTGGTAAAGTGGTGTCATTCCAACCTAGTCCATTCACTTCCACGTTAACTTCCAACCGTTGCATTTTCATTTACAACACGTCCATCTTCTGTAGAAGTTTGTGGAAGTCATCTGTAGAGAACGGAGGCATTTTGCTGCTAACTAGCTTAAGCTAAATAGCATGCTGTACCAGGCTTTAGCTGTTGCTAGGCCACGCTACTGTAAGACTGAGGTCGTCGTAAAAATATTTAAATATGGCTGAAACCCTCCATCTATTTACGAAGAATAACTGTCCCAGTGATAGGTTAATGTCCAGGAGCCGCTGCTCAAAGTTTTCAGAAAAGAAAAATAGAAAAAACAGCATAAAAAAGTAAGCAGAGGCAAGAGCAAGCAGAAAAGCGTCTGCACTGCCAGAAGGCTGCATGTAGCAAAGAGACTTAAAATATACTATAAAGAGAAACAAGGACACAACATTACTGCTTTCAAAGAAACAAAACAAGACAAAACAACTAAGGAGAACAAACATAAATTACATCAAATAACACTAAATAAAAGACAAAATAAGGATAAATTCACAGTTTAATCCTCTTGTTATTTTTCTTTGTGTCTTCACATGTTTCCCATATTTCCACAGCTCTTCTACTTCTAATTTAGTATTATTTCACATATTTCAGAAGTTTATTGCCAGGTTTGTTTACACATGGGAAGGAATTTGATTTGGTGTTGAACATAAACAACAATCTAAGAATGTAAGTTGTAAAAGTACACGCAGAAATATTTGGCCCTAATATAGAGATTTAGGTTTTTGAATTGCATATCAAATTTCCATCCTTTTGGATTACATAGTTCTTACATAAATTGACTGATAAACTCTATGTATTCCAAATACATAACTATATCAACAACCTTATTATAAATACATCCAATGTGTTTCAAATGCGAGAACAAGGCTTATGTATTCGATATAAATAAAGCCTATGCATTTTAAATTCACAAGAACCAGGTGTATGTATACAAAATAAATATAGCTTATTTGGTGCATTAATTTAATAATGCTTATTACATGGCTTAGTTGAATACTCGATTCTGATCAATGGTCAATTCAGAACACGTGACACGTTGTTAATCCAGAACAGACAGACCGCTGTCAAGCACTTATTGACCGTTGTTAAGGACGCTCACATCTGCACAAACAAGTCTGTTCGATTTAACTGTATACAGTTTGGCCGAAAAGCAAACTGCATGCAGTTTGCTTTTATAACTGACAAGACAAGAGCGACAAGAAAAATACACCTTCATGCCGATCTAGATCCCTCCGCTTCGTGTCGGGCTCCTGATCAGCCTGTCGGTGTTCTTTTCCCCATAATGACCGTGTCGCTGCACATTATCCCTTCCATAACATTTATAATTGTTTTTGGTAATAATCTACTTTTATAATACATAACCACATTCCCCACACTAACAGCACTAACAAAAAAGTAGACATACCACCTTGTTTCATATTTTAATGCATCAAGAAATCACAGTACACACCCACAATGTATACACTTGAAACAAAGTAACAAAGAAAATCAAGTCAACTTGAAGACAATCTTTGTTTCAACTAATTAATGCAAGTAAATCTAGTTGATATATATAAAAGCTAAGTTACTCTCATGACATTTTGGTGTGATACTTATAAAGTAACAGTTTAAAACAAACCCATTTGCTTGCACTTTAATATGTGTAGCTTTCTATCAATATTAGTAAGCACAACATCCACAGATAACTTCATACTCTTTATTTTTTTCAAACCGTAGTAACAGACAAAGAATTAAAGGTTTTAAAATCATTAAAACGTACCTCCATTGCTGTCATGCAGCAGAAATAAAATGCCCTCCGTAACCATAACGGTACTAGCCGGTGTTTCAGACTGTCGGTTAACGTATCACTCCGCCTCCGTTGTATCACCGCTGCAGGTGCACAGAGTTCCTCTGCCAGCGGCAGTAGTCCTCTCATTTAGATCAAAATGTGTCTTTACTTTAGTCCGAATTAAAAGATTACATCTTTAGGATATACCAGTTAATTACATCCATGCCTAAACCTTGCATTCAGTTAAAAGAGGGTTTTTTAAAAAACTCAAATGTGGAAGCATACGGTTTTTTTCTGTAGCTCTCAAACCTGCACTCCCTCCTTTTTATTTTTTCAACTGATAACTTGCAAGTTGAGTCAATGTGACAATATTTTAAGTTGTCAAGAATACATGTAAGTTTCACCTTCTAAAACTAGAAAAGCTGAGTTCAAAATCAAAAACTTGTCAGAACTCTTTGAATTAAAGAGACAATGTAACTTGACATAACTAAATGGGGCTGTGATGTTTTACAGTGTACATTTTATGCATTATTAAATGAATGCACCAAATAAGCTATAATTAAAACGTTACAAAAACAGTATAATTTATATTTATTCAGTTAATTTGGGTTAACTTAAAATAAAAATAAATCAATTTAGTGATATAGGAGTTACAAGACAAGTGCATACAAGTACAGTGTCACAGATACACAGAAGACAGTAAGGTGAATTTACAAGTAAAGATATATAACTCCTTTTGTGAGGAGGCTGTGGCTCAGTGGGTAGTGTGCTGGACTTCGAATCAGGGGGTAGCAAGATTGAGTCCCACTGCAGTCAGTATGTCGTTGTGTCCCTGGGCAAGACACTTCACCCCAAATTGCTCCTGTGGGGATTGTCCACAGTACTGAATGTATGTAAGTCGCTTTGGATAAAAGCGTCTAACAAATGACATGTAATGTTATAACTAATGACAAAATATACATGGGGATAAAAAAGAAAACAAAAACAGTGTGTGTGTGCATTTGAGGGATGAGACAATCAGGATTAATCTTTTAGAGCAATTTATAACTTTTTAAAACCTAAAGATTCAAATAAAGGCTATAAAAGGGTTCATATCGGGTAGTTTATATCATTTAAAAAAAAAGTATCCGCTGATTTAAAGACGTTTCTTTCCCCAAGACATTTCTTTTTGGACTCAGTAACGTCACGGACTGACATGGAAGTTGTATTAGCGCAGTTGGCCACTATGTCATTTTTCAATAAACTTTATTGAAATCCAGTCGGAAAAACAGACTGTGCCATCAAGTGGTGAAACTACAGCAGCACGTGGACGAAATAAAAACGGGAAAAAACAAGAAAAGCAAATCTATTAAAATAAAAATGATTCAACCTGTTTTTTTGACAGTTGCTCTAATTATGAATACATAAAAAAAATATAATAAATAAAATAAAAAACGTAAAAAAAACAACAATAACATTTTGCAGATGAGGCATTACAACAAATTATTTAAGAGAGGAACAAAAATAAATGATGAATTCTGGGAAAAAATACTAATTTACTAAACAAACAAATGATTCCTTTTCAATATAGCTGCAGTTCAAATACTGACCATTCATTAAAACCAGAATATAAAGTGATTGTTAGTAATTATAAAACATTAAACAGTTTCTAATGTTGAGACAAAGAGTCTCTTTGTGTCAACAAATTTAATGAGAAAATAGAAAATAAGTTTTAAGTTTCCAGCTCAGATTATTACAGCAGCAAGAATCACATTTGCTGAGAACACAGAAAACTAACGGCCGTCACAATGAAGTCAAATAATGAACATGAGATAATATTATATCAGAGTTTCACTAGAACAATGTTTGTTCAAAAAAACAAGAATGTTACAAATGTACTTTATCACTTCTCATACCTAACGTGTCTTAGTGTTTTGTAAAGTAAATACAAAAAAACTACCAAAAAAGCAACTCAAACCTTTCAATTGAACTAAAACGTTAAAAAATACAATTCAGTGTACATTGTAACGATCAACTATCAAAAATAGCTGTGTTAAATAAACGCAAAAGGGGTTATTGATATGAAATAATATTATAAAGGCAAAACAGAACTGATAAACGGACAATCTACTCTTTCCACAAAATAGTCCCCACATAAGTGTATTTCCTACTGTCTACATCCACACATTCACAAAAGAAACAAAGACAGGTTGTATACGTTATTCAATTATAGACAGTTTTCCAGCCAAACAAAAAACAACAAAAAGTCAGCTCGGCGATAAACCGAAATTGTCTTTACTGCCTAATCCAGGCCACTATAGTTTCATTGAAAAAAAGGCTGTTGCTCCTGTGCCCGTCAGCAGCAAACAACTGAAATGTGTTTAGGCCTATTTAGGCAATAATCCACAACAAAGGAAAACACGATGATCGGCGTGGCACAAAGGAGCGATCTCACCCTGTGTTGGAGAAAATCTCCTTATCTGTGCGCACGGAGACGTGCTTCCTGGTCGGTCGATGCAATATCCAAATTCAGTTATTTTCAGTTAAATCCCGTTGCATTTTAATATACATGATGAGGAAACTTAAATATCCCGCTGAATACCCGCATTCGCCACACACACACACTTCCTCCTCCCGCGAGAACCAACCCCTGCCGTCACTGTGACGCGCCCACTAAAAAGCCTCTGGGCGCGCCGCGACAGGTGAATATACAGACAAGGCTTAATGACCCACACCCTCAAACTGTACATAAAAGTGGACATTAACTACTGCAGTTGCGAGGATAACATACATTACATGAATCATAGTTCATTTCATGATAAACAACATGCCTTAATCCTTTTCCCCTGCCACTACAGTTTAGAAGAAACAACTTCAATCAAAATCAAGCAGCCATCACAACGTTACACACAGAAAAATGTGAACAGGCTGCTTTATCTAAATCAAAAACGTTTTTATTAACCAGAGCACTCACATTTATAGCCGAGTGTGTGAGGACAGCAGGATTTTGGGTGGTCTGAATGTAGTCCATAAAAAACATGTTTATTAGAACGTAGAGTCACTTACATTTGAAGAAAACAGGGGGAATGCTAGCTTGACTCAGAAAAGGATCAGATGGAGGCAGAGTGAGTGCGCTGGTGGGATCTAAGAGTACTGATCTGAGTAAAAAGTTTCCCACATTGTTCACAGCTGTATGGTTTCTCTCCTGTGTGAATACGATGATGCCTCTTAAGTTGACTTGATGTAGTAAATGACTTGTCACACTGGTCACAGCTGTACGGTTTCTCTCCAGTGTGAATACGATGATGCGTCTTAAGATGACTTGATCGAGCAAATGACTTGTCACACTGGTCACAGCTGTACGGTTTCTCTCCAGTGTGGATGCGCTGGTGGACTTTAAGGTCTGGACAACAATAAAACATTTTCCCACACTCGTCACAGCTGTGTGGTTTCTCTCCTGTGTGAACACGATGATGGGCTTTGAGTTGACTTGATGTTTTGTACGTTTTTCCACACTCGTCACATATGTATGGTTTCTCTCCAGTGTGAACACGTTGATGGACTGTGAGCTGACTTGGACAATCGTACGTTTTCCCACACTCTTGACACCGGTATGGTTTTTCACCCGTGTGAATACGATGATGCCTCTTAAGATGACTTGATGTGGTAAATGACTTGTCACACTGTTCACAGCTGTATGGTTTCTCTCCAGTGTGAACACTTTGATGGTTTGTTAGTTGATCTGATGAATTGCATGTTTTTCCACACTGTTCACAGCTGTATGGTTTCTCTCCAGTGTGAATACGATAATGCTTCTTAAGATGACTTGATGTAGTAAATGACTTGTCACACTGTTCACATGTGTATGGTTTCTCTCCTGTGTGAATACGATGATGGATTGTGAGTTTACCTGATGAAGGGAACATTTTCCCACACTCTTCACAACAGTATGGTTTTTCTCCCGTGTGAATACGATGATGGATTGTGAGTTTACCTGATGAAGAGAACATTTTCCCACACTCTTCACACCAGTATGGTTTTTCTCCCGTGTGAATACGATGATGGATTGTGAGTTTACTTGATGAAGTGAACATTTTCCCACACTCTTCACACCAGTATGGTTTTTCTCCCGTGTGAATGCGATGATGGATTTTGAGTTGACTAGAAGAAGTGAACATTTTCCCACACAGATCACAGCTGTAAGGTTTCTCTCCAGTATGAACTCTGTGATGAACCGTTAATCCTCCAGAGGCCTTGAAGGATTTGTTACACAGGTCACAGTTGTACGGTTTCTCTTCAGTATGGATGCGTTGGTGGACTTTAAGTGCACCAGTCTGAGAAAACGTTTTCCCACACAGGTCACAGTTGTGGGGTTTCTCTCCAGTGTGAACTCTCAGATGACGCTTTAAGTTCCCAGATAATTTGAAGGATTTGTCACACAGGTCACAGCTGTGAAGTCTGAGTCCTCTCTGGTTCTAAAGCAACAGACATACAAAGAGACATTCATTAAGTACATTTAAAAAAAATCTTTTGCAACATGCCTTCTTGAACAAAAACAAAAGTAATTGAGCTATCATTTTCAACTAATGTTATTAAATAACTGGTAAAGAATCACTCAAATGAAGCAGTCAGTAGATTTCTCCTAAATTCACCAAAAGTTAGCATTCTAACGTAACAAAGTACCGCGACCGCTGTTTGCACCATGTAATCAGAGGTATTGTTGGAAAGCTCTGTCCCTCCTGCACAATCTCATCGGATCCAAATATGGTAATTTCCTTTGTATCAGCAACCAATCGTGTACAAAGGGGTCTTAAACCAAAAAACGAAATCTCATTGACTGGTGTCAATTTCTGACAATGTGATTCGTTCAGATGCGTCACGTGGTGTGCTAAAACACTTCCTGGTTTAGCTTTCGCTGGAAATTTAAATCTCAAAATGGCAAAAGAACAGCGAAAAAAACGTTCACATAGAAGTAGACAACAATTTGTCACTTCGACGAAGCAAGGTTAGACAAAAAACAAATGACCCCGAACATGAAATACCTTCACGGAGTGTGTCGAGGCGCAAGCTGTCATCCAGAGAAAAGGAGGGTTTAGGTAGCGCCACACAACAATCTTTAAAGGTCTTTTTCTCAAAATGAGTTTTTGTCTCATATTCTGAGTGAGAAATGTCAACTTCAGTAGCACTTACATACACCAAACTTTCCAGTAATATTCCTATCAATATTCTGAAGGTTTTTACAGAAGGGTATGTTCATATATGACATTTTATACCTAAAACATGGCAGAATACTGTTGACAGTATTTTCTGATTTTTGGAGTTATAAAAAGAAATATCCAAAATCCCTTCTGGAAAAACTTTAGACTCTAGACTGGTGCACTACAAAATGAAACAAGAATTTGTTGTAAACCTGACTTTATCCAATGTTCAGAATTGTGTTCCTGAAATGTATGATAATATGCGCACATTTAAACATGCTATTTCAGAAAACTTGTAATACAAAAAATGACTGGCGTATCTAAAGCCAGTTGAGTAGTACTTGAAATGTTTTGGCTCTATGAAACCTGAAGTACTTATGTGATTCTGTTTTCTTCAAGTTTGTATCTTCTTGGTCGAATGCACTTATTGTAAGTCGCTTTTGATAAAAGCGTCATCTAAATGCAATGTAATGTAATGACCTTTTTAGAGAGGTTTAGCAAAAAAAATCCCACCTCTGGGTTCATTTGGGTGGAAATGGGTGTATTTGCCGTTTATCTGGAACCTATTGGTCGATTTTGATGATTGACATCTCTTTTTAACCGTTAGAGCCAATAAAATCGAAGGAGAATTTCCACATACACATTACCATTGAAAAGTGGGGGCTATGCACATGCAGCTTGCCCAAAGCAAAACCTATCTTACGCTCTGAAATCTGAAAACTAGTTTTATTGCTGATGGATTATCAGAAATCATTTCAAAGTGACACAGACACATTGGATTAACCTATGGATTAACCTTCAGCAATGTTTTTATCGTTTTAATGCCATTTGATCAGAAAACAACAAAGGTAAGACATTTTGCCGTGTTGGCTACCTAACGCTACGTGGTGTGATGTCTTTGTTAGCTTCTCATGTCGCGAGTTCGGATCGGTCAGTAATGATACCAATACCTGTCGAATCTGTGCAATCTCAGCTTGCTAATCGATATCTTGTTTGTGCAGATACGATAAGTAATAAGGGTATTTTAAGGAGAGTGTGTTAGCATATTTTCGCTCATGGCTAATTCAGAGCCTTTGTTATTACCCTTAAGTTTCGTTTTGCTAAAAATAGTTAATATTGTCTGATAGCTGAGTTTCTTCCAGTTAAGTGGGTATGACACATTAATAGGTTTTTAAATGTTAAGAAGCCCTCAGACGCTGTTTCTTGCAGATGTTGCGATCTTTCCCCCGCCCGAGGGGAATGGGGATTAACAGGTTAACAGGTTAAAGAAGAGACACTACATACTGATATACACCTGAACATCAGCAGGAGAGGACTCTTTAAAGTAGAGATATTACGTACTGATATACACCTGAACATCAGCAGGAGAGGACTCTTTAAAGAAGAGACACTACATACTGATATACACCTGAACATCAGCAGGAGAGGACTCTTTAAAGTAGAGATATTACATACTGATATACACCTGAACATCAGCAGGAGAGGACTCTTTAAAGAAGAGACACTACATACTGATATACACCTGAACATCAGCAAGAGAGGACTCTTTAAAGAAGAGACACTACATACTGATATACACCTGAACATCAGCAGAAAATGACTCATTAAAGTAGAGACACAACATACTGATATACACCTGAACATCAGCAGGAAAGGACTCTTTAAAGTAGAGATACTACATACTGATATACACCTGAACATCAGCAGGAGAGGACTCTTTAAAGTAGAGACACTACATACTGATATACACCTGAACATCAGCAGGAGAGGACTCTTTAAAGTAGAGACACTACATACTGAAATACACCTGAACATCAGCAGGAGAGGACTGTTTAAAGTAGAGACACTACATACTGATATACACCTGAACATCAGCAGGAGAGGACTCTTTAAAGTAGAGACACTACATACTGATATACACCTGAACATCAGCAAGAGAGGACTCTTTAAAGTAGAGACACTACATACTGAAATACACCTGAACATCAGCAGGAGAGGACTGTTTAAAGTAGAGACACTACATACTGATATACACCTGAACATCAGCAGGAGAGGACTCTTTAAAGTAGAGACACTACATACTGATATACACCTGAACATCAGCAGGAGAGGACTCTTTAAAGTAGAGACACTACATACTGATATACACCTGAACATCAGCAGGAGAGGATTCTTTAAAGTAGAGACACTACATACTGATATACACCTGAACACCAGCAGGAGAGGACTCTTTAAAGTACCAGGATGCAAACGCAGCAGGTATGAAAAAGGTGACAAGTATCCGACCCCCCGAAATATTGGCATTACAATTAGGAATCAGAGGATTTTAGCAGTCAGAACAACTAAAACAGCAGTGTTAATAATAACAGAAACACCAAAGAGTCACATCTAATATGAATATATAAAAGCATTTATTTTAATTGTGTAGCAGTCAGTTTATAATTTTTAGTTTTGTTAACACTGGGCCAGAGATAGGTCAAATCCACCCAAATGACACCAGAAGTGTTTTATTTTTGCTAAATCTCTCTAAAAAGCTCAAATGTCACTTGTTTTCTATCAATCTTGATACAGGGTACTTATTATATGTTATAGTTTGGATTCCTAAAGCTTTTAGTCTACCATCCCATCATTCAAGGGTGGTTTTCACTATAAGTAATGTTTTTTCTTTTGGACGGACACAATAATTTACATTTTATTACTATGTTCAATCTGAATTTACTTTAAAGTGGACCTATAATGCTATATTTGAAAAATATATTGTAGGGCCATACCTATATAAAACATGTCTGTGAAGGTTTTTTTTCAAAATACGAAACAGATCATGCATTTTAGCCATGCCTAATTTCGCTCTATTTGCTGTATTCCAGCCCTGTTTTTGCACGGGCTGATTCTGTGACGTAGCTTTAATGCAAATGAGCTGCAGCTGACCACGCCCCCCCGCAGAAAAGGGGGGTGTGGCACGGCCCCGGCACGAGCGTCATGTTACCATGCTTGCTGTGAATACGAGTGGAAAAGAAACATGTTCTCTCAGACAAATGCATGTGTTGAGTATGTTATGAGTATGATCCCAAATATGACACTGAAGAAGCAATGTTTACAGTTTGCAGAGGTGGGGACTCGAGTCACATGACTTGACTCAAGTCAGACTCGAGTCGCATATTTTTTGACTTGAGACTTGCTTGACTAACATTGATAAAAGACTTGACTTTGACTTGGTATTCATGACTTGAGACTTGACTTAAGCTTGAGATATATGACTTGAAAGGACTTGAGTGTTTAAAATTAAATATTTGCGTTTGTTTTTGTGGTGAGATATTACGTTTAGTTTTTTTTGCGCGCAAACCTGGCAACCCACTAGAAGGCAGGAGTCTCAGTTAACATGGCAGCGGCTAGCGTTACTCCACAAATAGTCAAGTTTGGATTCAAGGATTATGTTGTCGATGACGTTAATAAGAAGAGAACAGCGGTATGCAGGGTCTGCAGCATAAAGATCAGTGACACGACCACCACAACATCCAACTTCCTTCGTCACTACAAAAAAAAACACAGAGAAAGGTAGGCTACGTGCATGTGTTGTGTTAGCTAGAAAGCTAACGTTAAGTTTAAGCTACGTTAGACTTGGTTTCAAATCAACAAAGCATTGCAAAGAGAAGACAAAACTGTAAATGAACACTCGAACCGCCAAGGGATTCATTTGGACTAACCCTGATACTGACGGGCTGTCAGGAGAGGGAGAGAGAGGAAAAGAGATGCCTGGTTTATTTCCCCTGTGTTATCAGAAGTTACTGTAAACTTTTGAATAATGTAGTTCATCTACTTTTAGTAGTTTGTTTAAATGTTTTAATTATGTTGTTTTTGTTTGTAGAAGTGCATCATTCGTTGATTTATTGTAAAATGAATCTGAACTTTTTGATCTGTTATTGATGATAAACTGAAGCAATTTCTAAATTAAACCAATTAAGTGAGTTTAAAATCGTCCTACTTAGTTTATAAGGAAATTATGAAGAGGAACAAATTAAATTATTTGAAAATGATATCTATGTAGGTGCTGACGGCGCTGTTAGCGGTTCTAGTGTTAACAGAAATTTAAAATAAATATGTGTAATAGCAAATGCCATATATGATTTTCTTACCTGGAATTCTGCCTTTTTTAACAGACTTTTTGATTGAGTCCTAGCTATATTGTCTGCAGTTCTAGGGTTAATATGAATCTAGTATGATTGTCATCGGTCTAAATTAGATTTCAAATGATTAACTGTGTATGTACTGAAGATCAT